AGGTTATTGTAGTCCTATCATGTGCGTGGACTACAAACATGTAGGTTGACAGAAGCAATATTTAAGGGAAAACACCCAACAATTGGCTGTTAATCTCAGAGAACCAGCAGCTCAGACCAAAACAATGAGACAGAAACAGAAAAAAACTCATTAAAAGCGTCTCTGTTAGTGTTTCCAACAATCACCAACTCTGGTTTGGTGGAAATAAATCCTTAATTCGCCGACGTAGATGATAAAAACAGCAGTTTCAGTCGGAGCAGATCGGCTATGGAAACAAACCACAGAGAGGCTGCGATACAACACAGGCAGAGGGAGGATACTTACATATTGTGAGATGTAAATATCTTTCTGCCTCCTTTTCTTTATTTTGAACAACACAAACAAAGTCTGCATCGCCTCAAACAGAAAATGTGTTTTTTAACAACTTTTGGGTGAAACAACCTTTTTTAGAAAAAAAATCGCCCTCATATCCAATTTTAGATGTTAAAGTAAGAGATTATATGTTATTTGTTCACTGTGACATTTATTGAATACAATGAAATAAATGTTTAAGTTGAATAAATTCACAGATTAGTATTTGTACGTAGATGTGAGGTCTATCCCGGAGCTCCTCTGACAGTCAGTTTATTTTGTAAATCTCCCATTTTGCTCCGACTATATTTAGATTAGAGGGGTATTTATAATCCATCTTCCCGTTATATTCCCAGTCATACAGCATGTGGAGGTGTCAAGTATCTGCTGCCAGTGATTAAGCTCATCAGTATTCTCTTCCATATTTGGGTCACATACTCCCCATGTACTCTCTTAATTTGCATAATCACAGAAAACCATATCAAAACCCGCCTTTTTAGTACTTTTTCCTCCACTGCTGCAACATAGTGTTTGTGTGTGTTTGAAGCTGTGTTTTCATTCATAGACTGAAAACATTTGTGTTTATTATCGTGAGTACATAAAGGGAGCCATATAGGAGGGAACTGTGGTTGCTGTCATGGGCTGATAAACACTGAATGTGGACTAATCTGTAATTCACTATAGACCACAACATGTTAAAACAATGCACTGAGCTATAAATACAGGCGAACTCTGCTATAATACAAATAATCAGGCTTAAATTTACAGCAGAGTGCTGTTTTTATTTGATTTTACTTATTTTAATCTGAATGTTTAAAGTTATAGAACTGTAATAAAAGTCATTATCTGTGAAATTACAGTAATTATTGCTGTTTACACTGATAACAACTGTATTTTGACAGTTTACCAATGCTTATACACTGATAAACAACGTTTATTTTATTTTAAATTTTATTTAACATTTTTGCTGTGAAAACTAACATAATTACAAGATATCTGTCAGTTAACAAACAAATCCATGTAAAAACAAAAATTACATAATTTTAGAAATGTACTGATGGTATAAAACTTGAATTTGACATTTGGATATATTAAAAAAAACTGTAAATATCTGCGAAAAAATTACAGACTTACAAATATATTTTAATCTTTTTATGTGAATAAAGGAAAGTTTCTTTTAAATTGTATATTTTAAAATTGTAATTTGCTTTTATTGTAATTTCATTAATATTTCCATGTATTTCAAATATAATAAAAAATATGTAAAATAAACTTTTTTAGTGTAAATTATTATTGTTATTATAAGACAACACAGTAAAGTAAATGCTGATTTTTTTAAAAGCACACTAGCAGCTAAATGTTGCTCTCCAACACTTTAAATCTGAAATGTATTCAGATGACCCATTGAACCAGCAGTGTCTGCCTGAGTGATGCTGCCGACACATTAAAGGGAAACAACAGTGGGGCCAGTGTCGTTCCCTGAGGAACTCCGATCTCTGAAGATAACATTAAGAAGAATCTAAATCTATGAGAACTGCTTGTTATCTTAAGATCTGAAGTTGTGAGGACACGACAACAGTGTGATATCTCGAGATAATAAAATAATAATCAATGTTACGATAACGGACCCGAAGGAAGCTGCCAAAGTTTTAGAAACCCAGTTACATCCTGATCAGCTTTGAAGCTTAATTGCTTTTTAATTGCCTCTTTTATTAACAATGAAAATCCCTCTGACATTATATTGTTTGACTTTGCTCTGATTTCAGTGTCATTCACGTCTTTATTCGGGTCCCTTCTGTCTCATGTAACTCCCTCTTTGTTCTGTCGGCTCTGTACCGTCGACGGCTTCGGGGCCAAAAAGACAAAGACTCTTTCTCCGAAATTCCTCCCCACAGAGTTTAGTGCCAGCTTTGCATATAAATTTGTTTGCTAGTAAATCTTCCCTCCAGGACGTCTTTCCCGCCTCAGCGGGAGCCGTCACACAGCGAGACACAGGAGACTCTCCGGAGTTTGACAGAGTTAGTATTAAAATTTAAATCCAATGTCCTTCAAAACACCTTTCTGATTTATATTATTTATCACTGTGGATTTACTTTATTTAATTTAAAGACATATATTTATATTATAAAGTCAGTCAAAAGCCAGATTTATACTTAATAACTCCTTGTTAGTCCAACTTGGTGTTTAAAGACAAACATTATTAATAAAGTGAATAAAACACAGTTGAGAGAGAGTGAAGGATTCTTTATCTCTTTTAAAATCATCACATTTAAAAACACCTGAGGTTTATTTAGTTTGAGCCACTGATTTCTAACATAATAACATATTTAATTTAATATCTATAAGCAGCTGTTTGGGTGTCAGAGTCAGATATCAGCCGTCAATCAGCTGCAGTGGTCGAACTCCGGCCAGCAGATGTCAGGATTTCACAACTTTACTTAGAGCTTCTGACAGGAAACTCTTTTTAATCTTTTTATTTTGTCTCTTCGTGAGTTTCCATCTGAAGATAAATCCGATTATGTTTATTTTCTGCCTCGAGCAAAAGCCGATCTGACACACAACTTAAAAGAACCAGAAACTGAACCTTTGATTTTCTTTCTGGGGTTTTCCATCCTGATCCTGTCTGACTGTAAAATATAAAACACTGCGGGCTGATGGCGTCCTACAGGATCAATATCTATTATTAGTTGTGGACTAAAGAAAAATGTATATATATATTATTCATTCTAAGTAACATTTAATTTCCATCATGCCTCATCTATTTTAGTCTTGTAACTATTATTTTATGATATATTAGCAATTAATTTAGTATCATTTTAATGGTTACTTTTGCAATTATTGTTATTATTCTTAGTGTTATTTTTGTTTGTATTATTCTACTTCACTTGTATATGATTTTAAATGTCTTTTTATTTATTATTTTATTTCACCTCCTGAAATGTTTTTAATCCTGGTGTAAGTCACTTAAATAAAGTGTATTATTATTATTATTATTATTATTATAAAATGTAGTATTATTTGAGCAAAAAAATAACGTTTTCAACACAGTAAACAGACAATAATGCTCAGAAATGTTTTTAATACCATCAACATCAGGCATTTTGGTTTTAAAATACTAAAACCATTATTTATATTATGATTTTGATGTTAAATATTAATTCTGTGACCAATTAAAAATCACATCTGAAAATAAACAGGATCCCAGAAGCCTCCGTGTAATAAAAAAAAATTAACCTTTTTCCACCTTAAATCCAGGAAGCTGCAGACTGACTCATATTGAGGATTTTCAGCTTCACAGAGCTGCAGCTTAACCCGAGTTCACTGCAGGTGAGACGCAGTCAGAATAATAAAACCACCACAACAAAACTCGTTCCAGGAAACCGAAGAGGAAAAAGATTTATTCAGAAAACCAGAGAGCTTCAGACAGAGCGGGAAAGGATTCACATCTGAGAACAGGTCGTCTGCTTCATCCTCAGCAGTGGAAGAATAATTCACACTGAGTTAAAGTACTAATATTATATATATACTCTAATATAGTGCATTCGGAGCATTACTTAAAGTAAGTATATGTTGTGTTGATTCTGGCGGCCCCTGTGGACAAAAGCGGTACTGCATGTAAAGTAAAAGTACTCATAGTACAGTAAAATGTTCCCTGTCAGTGTTTTACTATTATATTTACTAGTTTTACTATAATATATTTTATATTTATTTAGATGTTTATGGTGAAGCTCTTTTTTTATTATTCTTATTTTTTCCAAACCAGTTACGGAAGCGTATTGCATTCACTTGAAAAAAAAAAAAAAAACTCTGTTTTTCTGAGTAATTTTTTTTCGGAGTAATTTCTTTTTTCTGAATTATTGAGATACTTCGAACTCCTGGTTTTATTGAAAACAGGAAAAAAACTGTCAGAAAAACAGAAAGAAATATTTTAAAAAAACAAACAAAAAAATAAATCACTCAGAAAAAGTTTTTTTTTTTAATTGAATGCAATATGCTTCCGTACAGTTTATATTACAAAACATAACAAAAGAAAAAACATTTTGGGAGGGATGAAGTGTGCATACAATGAAAAGCATGTCTGTGGGAGACCTTGAGAGGAAATAGTATTAAAAAATAATAATGTTTTTATATTATTTATATATGTTTGGTGGCTTAATCTGTACAAAATATATCATAGCTGTAATTTAGTTGATATTTTTTATGACTTTTATGACTTTTCTTATGAATTTTTTGAATATATGTTGTTGTTTTTTTTGTTTTCACAAGTAGCTTAAAGGGAACTACAGCCTGAATTTGAAAATACTTTCTTACTAGACTTTAAGGAGAGCCAGAAAAAAAGAATAACAAACAATCACATATATAAATATTTGATAACATAAGGCATATTAAGATGTGACTTTATTGATCCCCCTGAGTAAAGAAAGAGAATAAAACACAATAAAATATAAATAAATATAATAAAATACAATAAAATCTAATAAATAAAAAAGAATATAACATAATACAATAGAATATATAAAAAAAAATTAAATGAAAAGTAAATAAATGAATAAATTAAAACAAAAATTAAAGTCTAATTTTGTCACTCGGAGCCTCTGTACAAAAGTTTGCAGAGCGCATGCGCAGTGCGACCGCCTGCCTCCCAGCCGACGGCTGTTTGAGGAAGTTCGGACCGACTTCTACCTGTTCGGTTCGGCGGGTTCACCGACGTTAGCTGCTACAGGTGAGTGTTGGACCGCTTCACGCTGCTCCTCACGACCTCACTGGACCGGACGGAACCCCGTACGAAGCGCGGGGAGACGAAACGATGACATTTAACCGTGTGATCGACTGATAATCGATGGTTTTACGGATCAATCAATCAGCTCAGGTGTTGCTAATATGCTAATTATAGCTCTTTACCTGTTAGCTGACTTCTCTTGTTACCTGCTGTGTAACTCTGTGACTGTATGGAGGCTTTAAAAGGCTTATTTCTGCCTTAATTAACTGCTGTTGTCTCTATATTAATGATGATTATATTTAATAAGGTCGTTAATTAGTTTTAAAATCAGTTGTAGCCGCTGAAGTATAAATACCACAGTGTGTAAATACTATAAATAATAAATAATATTAGCAGCAGAATATACTTAAAGTTAAAGCACTCATCGATAATTGGGACTAAACCTTAATTCATTTAAATGAATCTAAATTATTGTGTTTAATTCGACACCAAACTGCAGCAGCCAGACTTTATTCTAATATTTAATAAGGTTGTTAATTATCTTTAAAATATCACAAACTGAAGCGACTGAAGTAAAAGTAGAAATACTCAGTTACAAGTTAAAACTCACTGTGGAGCATTTTCACAAAAACCTTATTTTGGTTTATTTTTTACTCTTAAATTATTATTATTATAATTTTAACATTTTTCTTTTAGTTGAAAATAAATTGGTTTATAATTTCTACAATAATTGTGAATCATACCTGTTATAATATAAAACATTAATATATATTTAATGATTTTTTTATTTAATTAACTGTATAATCAAAGAGTTTAATATCTTTTTATTCAAGTAAATAAATATGATTATAAAGTTGCCCACTTTAATTTTCTGTAAATAATGTAACAACATATAATTTATAACACAAAGATATTAATATAATTATAAACTATTTATTCACATAAACCTCTTTAATAAATGATTATGAACATTAATTTAATTAATATAATTATAATGTGTTTGTTCTCTGCTGTAAGTTATTGTTATTATTATTAGTTATTTATTTAGCTTCTGAATTTCACCAAAGGATCAATAATGTTTTAATGTCTGTGTCTAATAATAATAATAATAATAATAATAATAATAATAATAAATCATTGTTCACTTGTGGAGTGTATATAAAAATATGTATATAAGTATAAAGTCCAGTAAATGTCACAAACACTGCGACTCTCTGGAGGTTTTATTGATTATTGATCATTGTTTTTCTTTCAGTCCGTCAGAAATGAGCTCGACATCAGATCTGGAGCAGTTGGCAGAAATAGGTGAGTTTATAAGAATCTTCCTGTCAGTAAAATGTGAGACAGATAATCAGAGAGATAATCTTCTTCCTCCCTCAGACTGTAAATAAAACCGTCCGTTGTCTCCCTGACGTCCCCCGGATGCGTCTGAGGAGACGTTGTGAAGTTCTGGTCGACTCCCAGATGATCCAGAAATGGTCAAAGAGGTGGAACTGAATGTGGAACTGAATGTGGCCCTTAATTAACATAACTTTAAGTTTTAATATCATTTAAAAGGGATGAGTTGTATAAAAGTTCACCTGCTGTACAAAAGGCCAAAACCACCCACAGCCCACCTGCACCTGTTAGATCCTTCCCCTTTAAGACAGGTGTGACTGTGCACCTGCACACTGTGTGTCTGACTGAAGGAACAAACTGCCCCTCTGATAACACTGAAGACGATAACAAAGGAATCCACAACGTTTATTTTAAGGTCAGAACAGGGCAATGTCAAACTGACTGTGTGGGTAGTTAGTTTTAGAGAGGGCAGTACAGCCTCACTGCGGGGGGGCTTCCTTTTTTACTTTAAAGGGCTCTGCGGTACTTCCTGCTGTGCACAGATGTGAGCTGGGAGCGGTTGTTGCCCAATAACTCCTCATGTCTTCATATTATTACCTTCCACTCAGAGACAGTGTGAGCTGGGTCCAGGGTTTATTTAGTATTTAGGAACAAGTTGGAGAAGCTCTACACTGAAACCTAAAAACTGAGCAGCTAAAACCTTCTAATATGTTTCTGATGGTCCAAGCTCTCTGAAACTTTACAACCTTCATTATTAAGCCTCCGTTATTGGACCTGATGAAGTGTAAACGAGTGTTTTAAAAAGGGACTTTCTGACTCTGATTCACTGAGTGAAGTCACAGCAGAGTTTGAGGCTCTCTGAAGCTTTTGTCAGGTCACTGCGAGCGGATCATTTCCTGTCTGTTATCAGACCGACTCTGTTTATAGAAAACTTCCCTCAGTGCTGCAGAATAAACATCCACCCGCTCCGCCCGCTCTCTGATAATCTGTATTTTAGGAAGAGTAAAACGGAGCAGATAAGGAAATGTTGGGTGTGTAGAGCGGGAACTTCTGATCCAGCTGATGTTATGAGTCTGTTTTACTCTGAGCTTTCCTGTATAAACTGTAAATATCAAAAACTTCTTTCATTAAACTTATTAAAACTTCCCTTTTAATTCTGACAGAACTTCAGCGGGAGGAAGAGGAGGATGAGGAGGTCACTGACGGTCCGTCGGTTCCTCCCAGCAGCACCTTCAGTCCCGTTCCTTCTCACCCGTATTACGACGTCGCTCGACACGGCATCATCCAGGTCTGCGGTCAGTAGCCCCGAAAACCTTTTTACTCTTAAATAAATAAACGTTCAGCCTCTTTTAGCTCCTCGTTTTGGTTTTTGGGTTCGTACTCTGCGATCAGACGAGCTCTGATACGAACTGCTTCCTCTCACAGAGCTAAAAGACGGTTCAGTCCCCAGACTGGAAACCAAAAATGAGAATGTGGAAGCAGGAAGCCGTTGGCTGAGATATTAAACACAACTATTTAAAATAAAGCTCTCAGATGTTGTTCTGCTGCCCCCAAGTGGCCAAAAACGATATGAATGCTGCTTTAAACCAATTTCTCTACGGTTTGTTACAAAAACATCAAATAACGGCTACAAATGACATAATGCTGCTCCACCAGTGCTCTGTCTGTCTGTCTGTGTCTCTCTCTGTCTGTCTGTCTGTCTGTCTCTCTGTCTGTCTGTCTCTCTCTGTCTCTCTCTGTCTGTCTGTCTGTCTGTCTGTCTGTCTCTCTCTCTCTGTCTGTCTGTCTCTCTCTCTGTCTGTCTGTCTGTCTCTCTCTCTGTCTGTCTGTCTCTCTTTCTGTCTGTCTGTCTCTCTCTCTGTCTGTCTGTCTTCTCTGTCCCTCTCTCTCTCTGTCTGTCTGTCTGTCTGTCTGTCTGTCTCTGTCTGTCCCTCTCTGTCTCTGTCTGTCCCTCTGTCTGTCTGTCTGTCTGTCTGTCTGTCTGTCTGTCTCTCTCTGTCTGTCTGTCTGTCTGTCTGTCTGTCTGTCTCTCTCTCTCTGTCTGTCTGTCTCTCTCTCTGTCTGTCTGTCTGTCTCTGTCTGTCCCTCTCTCTCTCTGTCTGTCTGTCTCTCTCTGTCTGTCTGTCTCTCTTTCTGTCTGTCCCTCTCTCTCTCTGTCTGTCTGTCTCTGTCCCTCTCTCTCTCTGTCTGTCTGTCTGTCTGTCTCTGTCTGTCCCTCTCTGTCTCTGTCTGTCCCTCTGTCTGTCTGTCCCTCTCTCTGTCTGTCTGTCTCTCTGTCTGTCTCTCTCTCTGTCTGTCTGTCCTCAGGGTTAAGACGTGTAAATCTTTCCTCCAGGTGACGACAACTACGGCAGGAAGTTGATCGTGTTCAGCAGCTGCTGTTTGCCTCCGTCTCACGAGCTGAACCACCGCCGGCTGCTGGAGTACGTTCACAGTAACTCCTCCTCCTCCTCCTCCTCCTCCTCTTCCTCCTCCTCCTCCTCCGTACGGCGGCAACCTGTCAGCGGCTGACCTCACGTTCCCGTTACTCTTCCTCTGCAGGTATCTGAAGTTCACGTTGGACCAGTACGTGGAGATGGACTACATCCTGGTTTACTTCCATCACGGCCTGAGGAGCAGCAACAAACCGTCTCTGAAATGGTTGCGAGAAGCTTACGGCGAGTTCGACAGGAAGTACGTCACCCGACTCTTCTTCTGTGGTCGTAATTAGAGCGGCACGATGAGGACGTTTGTTCAGCCGATAACTGATAATTACACGTGTTTGTATTTTACGATCACTCGATGGTCAGAAACCCCGAGGTTGTTTATGTAAGATGGATAATTTAATGTATAAATAACTCAAATCTGACATCACACAACAACAACAACAACAACAGTTCTGACTCTTTAGATGTTCATTAATTCATTAAAAAACTTTAAAAAACTACAGAATATAAAGGATATTTTCCATAAGAATTCCAAATACATTATTATTAATATTAAATTATTCATAATATACATTTCTCATTTCTATGCTGATAATTATTGAGCCTCCCTGCTTGTAATTTTCACTTTTAACAAAACGATTTACAAAAGGTGAATAAATCCAATTAGTATTTATTAAAAAGTTAAATTTGGCTGCTCAACGATAAAGAAGATGCTGTCAGTTTGGTAAAAAAACAACTTCAGTTACTTTAAAAACATTAAAACAAGGAGACTCTGCTCTCCGAGTTCCTGTCACATACCGGATGTAACAATGTGGGAAGTTGACAGTAAACGAGGCCAAAGTGTCAAATAATGATAATAAATAATGAAGTAATCCCTGTGAGCTCTCTAGCTCCCCCTGCTGGTTCTGTAAAATCTACACCGTTGATGTCCTGATTCAAACATTATAAATATTGTGTGATGAAGTAACGAGCTGTTCTCTGATTGGAGGAATCAGACTGAGCAGATATAAACTGTGTTACAGGTACAAGAAGAACCTGAAGACTCTGTACGTCGTTCATCCCACAAACTTCATCCGAATCGTCTGGAACATCTTCAAACCTCTGATCAGGTAACGACGCGTCCGACCCCCCCTGGAGGTCGAGCAGTCTTCAGTCGCTCCGACGCTGTCTTTGTTTCTCCTCAGTCACAAGTTCGGGAAGAAGCTGACGTACGTGAACTACCTGGCCGAGCTCCGAGAGCACCTGAACTACGAGCAGCTCATCATCCCCCCCGACGTCCTCAGGTACACAAAGTCTAAAACGAGTGGCTTTACTTTCCCTCTGACCTTTGACCTCTGACCTCTGCGTCCTTTCACCTCAACGACAGACACGATGAAAAGTTACGAGCTGCTCAGAAAGGCGGACCCCCTCCCTCAGCGAGGACCCCCCCACCTCGGCCCCCTCTGCCCACGCAGCAGTTTGGAGTCAGCCTGCAGTAGTGAGTCTGCTCTCTACCAATAATGGATTCTAATGAACTGATCACTGATATATTGATACAGCTGTGATCGATCAGTGTTTGTTTTCCAGCATCAGAGAGAAGAACAGGGAGGCTTTAATCCCTCCGGTGCTCTCTCAGACGGTGAACTACCTGAAGGAGAAAGGTTATTATATTATATTATATTATATTATATTATATTATATTATTTTATAGTATTTTATATTATATTATTTTATATTATTTTATACTATTTTATATTATATAATATTATTTTATAGTATTTTATATTATATAATATTATTTTATAGTATTTTATATTATATAATATTATTTTATATTATATTATTTTATATTATATTATATTCAGCTGATGTCAGATAATGATGATATGTCTGTGTCTGTCTGTCTGTCTGTCTGTCTGTCTGTCTGTCTCAGGTCTGAGGACCGAGGGGATCTTCAGACGATCGGCTCGAGTTCAGCTCATCAAGGACGTTCAGAAGCTGTATAACCTCGGTGAGTGGGGTCTCCCTCTCTCAACATCAGGGGTCTGTTTCATTCAGTGTCTCTGAGACTCACACAGGAATCAATCAATCAATCAATCAATCAATCAATCAATCAGACGGTATTTGTAGAGCACCTTCATTCAGTTTAAATGCTCCACAGTCGATAACGAGACAATGAAACAGAGTTTACAGGTAACTAATGTTTAATTAAAGCTTCACTAGAAACCAGATAAAGTGTCAATAAAGGTTATTTGAATGATCGAACTCTTCCAGGGAAACCTGTGAACTTTGACGAGTACGGCGACGTCCACGTTCCCGCCGTGATCCTGAAGACGTTCCTCAGAGAACTTCCTGAACCGCTGCTCACCTTCAGGGTCTACAGCCAGGTCCAGGAGCTCCTCGGTGAGTACGGGAGGAGGAGGAGGAGGGAGAGGAGGGAGGAGGAGGAGGAGGAGGGGAGGAGGGAGGAGGAGGAGGAGGAGGGAGGAGGAGGAGGGAGAGGAAGATTAATGATGATGTTGTTGTTGTCCTTCAGCTGTGGAGAGCAGTCTGAGGGTCTCCAGGTGTAAACAGATAGTTGAAAGTCTTCCTGAACATAATTTCATTGTGACGAAGTTCCTGCTGTGTTTCCTCCACATGGTGAGTCCCTCCATTATTTATATTTATATATATTTATTTGTATTTGTTTCTTTATTTATATGTATATTTATTTATGTTTATTTATATGGATTTATATTTATTTATAATAACTTCTATACCTTCAGTCCGATGTCTGTAAAACCGCGTTCATGTTCAGAGTCTCAGAGAAAACGAGCTGAAAATGAACCAGTTAGTTTAGAAGCAGCAGTTAGAGTCTCTAATAAAGCAGTGAGAGTTCAGAGGTAAATAACTGGGCTGTTTATTTATATATATATATATATATATAATAGTTTATATAAAACAATCAGAACAGATTAAAGCTGCACTGTTTGTTTGTTACAGGCTCAATAAAGTTACATCGTCACGATTTTAATAGTTTTTACAGTAAAAATGAAAATTATGACACAACTTATCTTTCTATTGATCATTAATCTGTCAAAATAATCCCAGTTAATATTTTACCAAATCATGAAGCTAAATAAAGATTGAACAGCAGAGGGCGCCGTCTGCTTTAGACTTTACTGGTTCGCTGACTCGTTGTTATATTTCCGTCTCTGCTGTCTGAGGTGAATTCTTTGCTCGTTAAACGCCGTCCCTCGCCACCAGGTGTCTCAGGAGAGCATCATGAACAAGATGAGTCCATCCAATCTGGCCTGTGTGTTCGGGGTGAACCTGGTCTGGCCTCGGCACGGCTCCATCTCCCTGAGCGCCCTGACCCCCATCAACATCTTCACCGAGATCCTCATCGAACATTTCCACACCGTGTTCGGGTCCCGCTGCCCGCCGACACAGGTAACGCCCTAAACCCCTCGGACACCTGGCTCGGTCTCTGATCCTCTGAACCCAAAGACTTTAATGACTCTGATGTTCCCGCTCATCTGGACAAAGTCTCCAAAACCTGATAGAGCTCAGTGCCGCCCCCCAGAGGATGATAGAGCTCAGTGCCGCCCCCCCAGAGGATGAAACCTTTTACACTAAAAACTCTATCATGGTCAAATGTTATTTGGGTCATAAATTCACTAAAGAAGTTTTTATATGTAATAAATGGTTTATAACACATCTGACTAATAACTGTCGATCAGTTCTGATCAATCAGTCTCAAACATTCTTTATTCAGTCGTTAATCTTTTTTTTTTTCTTCTCATCGAAACTGATTACTGCTGAAAATTTCATTTATTACTCTTCAGAAGTAATAATATTACTTTGCTTATTACTCCCTGCTAACAGTAATTAGTTACACTACTGGTTATATTACTTTCTGCTCTGCATAAAATTAGTAATCGTGTCGTTTTTCTCCCCAAAATTCCGACTGACGACGAGTAAAATACAGTTTTGTCTAAAATCAAAATAATGTGAATATTTTTCTAACAAAAGTAAAGTTGTGTTTACTTTATTCATATTTATTAGTAATACCTTACTTCCTAACTGTCCATATTAAAGTAATAGTGCTAAATAAATAAATGCTATAAAAATAATAATAATAATAAAACACTTGAGTCAAACATTTTGTTCTGGTATTTTGTTTATTAATGATTCCATTTTTCGTAAGAACTTGGTACAAAAAAGTGAGACTACTCTTTAATCATTTACCAACTTCCATCGATCAACTTTTTAATGCATCATAAAGAAGAAAAAACTACATTGGCATATTTAAGACAAACACTTTCCTATACACACTATCCACTGGACAGTCCCCTTATCAATGACAAAGAAAAAACTTCTACTTCAAACAGCCAACAGACATTTTTCATTTCCATCTAAAACGTGTCGTCGTCGCCTCTTCATGGCAAAAATAATACATTGAACGTTGCAAGCTAGAAGTCAGAATGCAGAACTGGCAAACAATAGAAAACCTCCAATGTTCAGTTTTCTTTTATTTTTTTTGCTTGTTGATAAAAGAATATAAAAATGTTCTAACTTTTTTTTTTTTCTTATTTGTTCAAATGTTGTGTCGTGTATTAAAATAGATCTGTTTAAGCACTGCACAGTTTCTCCCGGAGAAGATTTCTAGAAACGGATGAAGAGGTTTTTTTGGGGGGGATGGAGGGGTTGAGTGGTGGTGGTTTGGGGTTTGGTGGGGGGGGGGGCGCTGATATGGTTTCCATCTGGAGTCTCGTCACAGTCCTGCAGCTCTCAGGTGAGGACTCGATATGCATCACATGGTACATTCTCTGTACTGATGATGATTCTTTCTTAAAGGCAAGTCGGTACAATGTTAATGCATATCTGCTGTTTGTGTGACGGAGCCTGGACGGCGCTGCGGCCGCTGCTGCTGCTGCCGGGGTCGATCTACGTTTTATTACACTAATTATTTATTTTAAAATCCATCTGCAGTTTCAGTTTAATGAAGCATATCGCTGTCGGTATCATGTTATAATGCAATAACTTATATTGTTATAACAATATATAAAGTTGTCATGTTATAAGACAAATTGTTAATATTTTGATAAGAAAAGTTTCTTGTGTCGTAATGACGTAAACATTTTATTGTTTTAAGACGATATTTTCATGTTATTACGGCACAAACTTACAAACTACAACTCATGTTGTAACAACTTAAATGATCACGTTATAACAAGTTTACTGTTATAAGTTTGTTCGCCGTAATAATGTGAAGCGTTTCATGTTGTAACATGACTTACTGTAATGTTTTACATTATAACGTGTATATAACGTTATGTTTGTTTGTCGTAAAAACTTGAAATATTGTTATAACAAGATGTTATTACGACATACAAACTTCTTGTTATGTGATCATTTGTTATATTGACACATAAGTTATCGCGATACAATTTGACACGTTTCACGTTATATTAAGATAAATATATATTGTTATAATATATATTAGAAGAAGTTTGTCGTTGTAACAGGATACTGATCTCAGAAATAAACTGTATAATTTTTAGGCTGTATTAATTATTACATAAGTGGAGGCAGCCAGCCTTGCCTGAAATAAAGACCACCACTGCTAATGTCATAAAGAATTAAACACTTTAATAACATACAATCTAATCAAGAGGTGCTATTTTACGCAGCTAATTCAGTATTAAATACTAACTGCTGCTCAGTGACCGATGATAGGAGGTGTGTCAGGGATCCAAAATAAAACTGAAGTAAATTTACAAATAGAACTAGAATTACTCTAGTATTTATAGTAATATTTATTATATTTTTTGATGTTATTACACATGTATGATGTGAATATTGAAATTATTAATTGGTTGAAGCTAATTTTAACTAATTTAAACAGTATCATATTTACAGGTTAAATCTGTAAAATAAAGTATATAACTACAGTAAAGTTATTTTCCACCGCTGAGTGAATCCAAAAGATGAAGAATTTAATGTAAAGGTTTTCTTCCATAAAAGTGTAATAATTTAATATAATCAGATCTTTATTTGAGGCGAGCCCGCCTCCACAAAGTTAGTAAAAAGGCTGCAGCAGTGATTTGAGGGAACACTTGAAGAACCGTTCCCTCCACAGACGCCTCCAGGCTCCGTCTTCTGATAAAGCGCATTTTAAATCCAACGTGTGCATTTTGGCTCCGAGCGTTCAGCGACAGCGGGAACTTCGTACTGTGAGCGAATCTGGTTCACCTCGTAAAGCTGAACTAACAGTCACTAACTGTTAGTTAGCTCAGGTCTGTGAATCTTTGCATCCAAAGTATTTACAGATCAACAAACATTGGCTGGTTTTTAACAATTTGTAGACTTTCTCATCTTAGAACTTTAGTTTTTTGCACTGATTTATTAACATCGGCCTAATCAGCTTGTTGCAGCTCAGGTATTAGAGAAATAATCAGTTTCCAGCACAAACAGATTATTATTATTATTATCTCTGTAGATGTTTCCGTCCTTATAAAGATCCTTTGGATGAAGGTTCACTGACTCGAGGCCTCAGTGTGTTTCAAACTGAGTTCTTGTCGAATCGTTTATTCGTCGCTCTTCACGTGAACACGAACGTCTGCGAGGAGACGATCTGAAAAGGTTTTATCCACATTAATACGATTCGCGCCATCGAGACACAAAAGACTCGTACAACGTCTTTCTTTCAGGCTCACTGAGGCTTTTAGTTTTGAAGCCGTATTGCTCGTCTTGTTCGCTGCCTCTGAAGCCGCGGGTGCACCGGTATATTTTCAATATTTTGTGCCGTACAGACAATGCTTCTCCGACGTTCAGGATCCGTTCAGTATCTTTGATACTTATGAGACCAAACAGGTGACCTGGATATGATTCAAATAAAATAAAACCACCTCTTCGCAGTTCTAACTTCACAAATTCACTCGTTTTCTTCTGATAAAAGGCATTTTTTTCTCTGAATTTGTTCACGTTTGTGCATTAACAGGTCGCAGAGAGCTGCACCTCGACTGTGTTGTGAGTACAGTATGATAAAGAAAAAAAAAAATAAATGGACTAAATCTAACACTTAAACTGAACCTTTCTGGACCAGCAGGAAGACTAGCGAGACAAGTGGAGCGAGGAGGACGAGACGGCGACGTCCCGGTTCGAGTCTGGACCAGGAGGACGCCGGCTTTCTCCTCGCTGTCCACCGACAGTCAAAGAGAGTTGTTGCAGTTTGACGAGTTGTCCCATTTTCTGATTGACTGGTGTCTATAAAATGACGCAACAAAGACGAAAACCCTGGATTTGAAACGATTTGTACTTGAGGCAGTGTTCATCTGTCAGACTAACAGGCTCGTCACCATTAAAACGCTCATAAAACACGAGAGTAAAAAAAAAGCCAAAATATAAAATAGGCAGGGAGAAAACAAAGCACTATAGACATTATTGATAGATGATCCCAGTACAAAAACAAAGAAAACAGTTTTTGGCATATTTTCTATACTGGTTAAAGGGGAAAGGGGCTGAATGGATGCATCGCACATCGACTGAACTCCTTCGACGTGTTTGTGTTTGAGTGCAGCTGTGAAAGAAACAACACTTCCTCCCTGTTTCTCTCCCACTGTTTGTTTCAGGAACTTTACTGACGGTTCTTTCACTTTTATCTGAAGATGCAGAAACAAAAAAACGACGCCAAATCTGTTGAAATCCACCCGGATGACTTTGTTTGTAACAGAGAAACAAGGTCAGTTACACAAAGGTAGGATTGTTAATCTAGGCTCGGGCGCTATCGAGGCGTTACGGTACACCGGGGTACTTACGATCTCTTTGTATTGACTTAATCTCATCGCACAACGAACTTGCCGGGAGAAAAATTAGAGAATGTGTCTGTTACTTGACTCCAGCTGTCGGTGTTACTTCACTAAGTTGGAGTAGCTCTGATCAACCAAACTCCATTCAGAAAACAAGCATTTTAAAAGTTGTTTGCTCGTGATCGTGATCCGGTTATTGACATTAAATTTCACCACAATCGGTTTATTTTGGACTCGTACCGCCGTGTTCATCCAGATTTAAAGGGCCAATATTTACTGTGAGGCAAAAACTCGCATTTATCGGTCTGCTGGTGGGAAGAACGAACGTGTTAGAGTCCGTTGTGGATTAAATGCTGAGCTGTGATTGGTCACGTACAGGCTAGAAAAGCTGCGCCGGTTAAATACTATAAAAAAAATACAGCCAAAGTCTAACGGGAACCTTTTTAAAGCTTCCAGTTCCTAATTTTTAGTCGTTTTTCTGAGCGTTTAAAAACCGCCAGCATTCAATAACGTCGCTGCTGTCAGTTATTCGTTAATTTCAAACGTTTGAGTTTTTGTTTCTGCAGCTTCGAACAGTGATTATTGTTGTTTGAGTGGAACAGAAACAAACAGCGTTCAGGGACTCCGTCTGTGACTTCAGTAAAAACCATAAAGAAAACCTGCAATCATGATGATGATGATGAAGATGAAGATAATAATACAACGTATGTACAGTGATCCCCTTGAATACTCCAAACTTACATTATCAACAGGCATCAGCATGAAAATACTAAAATCTCCACTAGAAATGCTAATTTCTGTAGTTTTATCTTAAATACTTTTTTCTTTGACTTTAACTCTATTAATACTGAAAAAAAGTTATTCTCTGTTTTTGTTTGAAGGCTCGTATGCGTTTACATACACGATGAAAACATTTTCCTGAATTATTATGGCAAAAACATTGTTCATAGGAGAATGAGAACAAACATCTACTCGGATATATCAATGTACAGTCCTTTCACGTCCTCCGGGTTCTCACTACGACTACTCTACTGTTCTCTCTCGCTATACGCAGAACAATAATTATACCTGTGTTTAAAAAAGGGAAATATCTTTTGGACCGCGCACAAAAACTCCTTCCTGCGGCAGCACTGTAATCTAACTTTTTGTAATAAATACATTAAGGCCAAGAACATTAATAAATAGAAAATAACTTAAAAAAAGAAATCTCGTAAGCACTGTAGGTGTTGGGTTTTAAAAAATACTTGAATCGAGTGGAGGATAGAGGCTCTTTTTTCTCAGTTCTTTTCTCGGAGAAACGATGGTTAGATATTATTCAGACAAAAAGAAATCATCACTGCCCTCGACGTTCGGTAAAAAGTCGGAGCACCGTTGGAGGGAAGGGGGGGCGGGGCTAGTTGTCGGCATCGTCCTGGCTGTGGGCGTGGCTCTTCTGCAGGGGCGTGGCGGCCGAGGGGCCCGGGGCGGCGGCGGCTGTGGCGGCGGCGGTGCTGGTGGGTTTGATCCAGGACTGGGAGAGCAGGGAGGCGGCGGCGATGGTGGCGGTGGTCGTCATGGTGACCTGGATGAGCTGGTCGCGCTGTATCAGCCGGACGAGAGCTTTGAGGCGTTCGAGCGACGCCTGAGTGTCTCTCTGCTGCCCCAACAGCCGCTCCCTCAGGTCCATACATTGCTGCAGACACACAGGAAACAACCAATCAGCTTCATCCACAGGTGAGCCGGTGTTCTTAAAGAGATACCGCACACTTACAACGAGTTACTGAAGCTGTAAACCGAATTATACGACTCTACTGTGACAGATAATCTGTTCAAATCTGGATTTCGTGGGTTGAAAGTGTCTCAAAGACTCTCTCTCTCTCAACTCGTTTCAGAAACATGTTTTACTGTTCAACCGCCAACGACAGCAGCTCAACTCGCAGTACGTCACCGCTGCTGGCTGCAAGAAAACCAACGTGGCGGCGAGCGTAGCGCCAAACCGGAGGATTGAAACCGGGACTCCGCCCGCCGATCCAGCAGGGTCAGACTCACTTTGAGCGAATCGTTGAGCTTCTTGTCTTCTTCCTCCAGATGAGTGCACTCGTTCTTCAGATCGTTGTTTCGTCTCAGCAGCCGTCGCTTCTCCTCCTGCCTCACTGCACACACACACACACACACACACACACACAGTTCGTCAGCACACGTATGAACAGGCTAACAGGCTAACACACACTTGTGAAGAAGTGAACCAGTTCTCACCCGTCTTGTGTGTAACGTAGGACTGAACAAAGTTCTGTGGCCACGACATGTTCTCCTTGTTCAGGACCTGAGGACCAGATACAACAGTTATTTATTTATTTATTTACAACAATCAGACGTTACAGTTTCAGTTATTTTCATCATTAACTCGATGGTTTGGGTTCTGTTGGGACTTGAGCACAGACTGTAAGTGTAGCTGACTCTCAGCTGTGTCTCATTTAAGGATGAAGCTCTCCTGAACTACCGGTGTTGTGGTTCAGAGAGCGACCGTGTTATCTGGTGTCTCTAGAAACACTTTATAAGAACGTTACGAGAGGCGTTCCCTGGAGTTTCGTACCTTCTTCTGGCACTTGGGGCAGTACCAGGGTCCTCTGGGGGGGGTTTTGAGCGGCGGGTGGAGGCAGTTGGGGTGGAAGGCTCTGGGGCAGTTGTGGCAGGGCTGCAGCTCGCCGTCCTCCTTACAGACGGCACAGTGGTCGTCATGCTCCAAGTCCTCCTGCTCGGACACAACCAGAGTCAGTACAGCCGTACTCAACGGGTCACACACACACACACACACTCTCACACACACACTCTACAGGTCTAACACACACAAACTTTACATTTTATATTTGATGGTGCACCGTAAACAGCTCGCTGACTTATAAACATACAGTGAGTTTCTCTAATTAAAATAGTTTTTAGTGTTAATTTGATGTCTTTGTCTTTTTAATGTTATTACACTGTAAAACCAAAGCAATGAACTCTGCTATGATACAAATAATTAGACTTAAATTTGCTGTTATTATTAGATTTGTCTTAGTTTAATGTGAATGTTAAAAGTAATTATCTGTGAAATTACAGTAATTATAAATAAAAACTGTATTTGGACAGTTTACCAATGCTTATACACTGATAAACATTTATTCAACGTTTCTGTGGTGAAAAACAAATCCATGTAAAGTTACACAACAAATACTTTTACTGTTGTCACAAATGTTATAACTTTAGAAATGTATTAACAGTTTAATCTATTAAATAAACAGTAAATATAGATTTGCAAAATGTATTTTAACTTTATGTGCAAAAACAGGACCAAAAAAAAAAAACGGAGGCGTGACGTCGTCGGTCATGTGACCTACCTTCCAGCAGAAATCCTCAGTGTCTAGCGTGTAAATGGAAGCAGAGCAGAGGTTAGTGGCAGCACAGACACACAGGTGAGAGCTGGAGCAGCGTGTGGTTAGCTTAGCTTAGCATAAAGACTGGAAGCAGGTGGAAACTGTTAGCCTCTAACAACAATTAGAAGTGTCTGTATACTGACTGTTCAACGTTAGAGAGTGTGTGTGTGTGTGTGTGTGTGTGTGTGTGTGTGTGTGTGTGTGTGTGTGTGTGTGTGTGTGTGTGTGTGTGTGTGTGTGTGTGTGTGTGTGTGTGTACCTCGTGCTGACAGGAAGAGCGAACTGTTCAGGTAGTGTGAGGCCAGACGTTTACGCTGTGAACAAACAGGAAGTTGGAGTCAGATTACAAACAGCTGATTAAAGTTTTAATGTAACAATAATGAATCAATAATCAATAATCAATAATCAATGGCTCTGACCTCTGGTTCAAACAGGCCGCTGTAGGCCGGATTAGCTGTGCTTCGTCTCTTCCTCTCCTGACGCTTCGACTGGATTTCTGCCCGGAAACAAACAAACAAACAAACAAACAAACAAACAAACAAACAAACGTTTAATATAAAAGATCTTCAGGAAGCTCTGATTACATCACTTCCTTCAAGGAGCAGCGTGGACTCACCTTCCAGGTGCTCCGTGGTGACGAGGCCGAGGGCGACCATGAAGGCGATTTTCTGTCAGAGAGAGAGAGGACGTTAACGAGGAGGAAGAGGACGTTAACGAGGAGGAAGAGGACGTTAACGAGGAGGAAGAGGACGTTAACGTCTACCTGAGGGGCTAAAATATAATTAATCATCAATAATCATTTTAATAAATTTCCAGGTTTTCCAGGATGTGGGAAACTTGTGAGCAGTTAATCAATTTCTCTGATTTCAGCTCCTCAAATGTTTTCTGCTTACTTTAGTCCTAAAGTAAATTTCCAGGTTTTCCAGGACGAGTTTTCGGGATTTGTAGAAAGATTCAAAACATTTCCAGATGATCAGTTATTGATCTGCAGGAGCTGCTGTTGGACTATTGATCACAATAATCGATCAGAAACTGTTCGTACAAAATAAAACTGGATTCACTTTCTCACCTCGGGGTCTTCGTCTTTCTTCGGGGACGGGGATTTCGGGGCCGGTGGGGCGTCCTGTGACGGGAGGTCAGCCGGGGCCCCCGGGGACCCCTCAGTGCTGCTGGGGGCCTGCGGCTGGATTATTATCACCTGGTGACACAAACATATGCATAAATATATGTGTCATCAATTAATAATCAATTATTTAACATTAAGCTTTTTGTTTGTGATCAGCAGAAAATCAACAGACAGAAAACTTCAATCATTTTTCATATTGAACGTATTTTTAAAATCAGGGTTGGTGTCGGGTTGTGGGGGAGTTAGGGTAGTTTGAGGGGGAGGGGGGGTTGTGGGGGAGTTATGGGAGGGAGGGGGGTTGTTGGGGGGACACCAGCCTTGTTATCAGCGCTGAAGAGCAGTGGCTGCACCTTGACGGCCTCGCTGACGGCGGACACCCCATTGCCGGAGGCGGGGGAGGCGGCGATGATGGCGTACGCCACGCCGGGACCCGCAGATGCGTGCTGGGCGGGGCCGCCGGAGTCTGGGCCCCCGGACGGAGCCGGGGGAGGCGAGGCGTCGCTCTGGCCGTTGGGCTGGTGGTCGGGGCTGAAGGTGCTGTTGGCGGTGGGCAGGGTGGGGCCCTGGCTCTTGGGGCTGACCACGGCTGTGGCCCTCTGCAGGCTGAGAGGCTGCAGCTCCTGGCAGGGACTGTGGGGGAGGCTGTCGGGGATCTGGGTCTTTGGCCTGACCTGTGGGGGGGGGGCAACAGAGAGGAGGGAAGCTGTTAAACCACCTCAACGCAGCAGGAAGAACGAGTTTATAAACTGATCGGAAGTGTCACCAGACTCCATTCAGAAAACTGCTCGTTTAACAGTTAATGAACCAGCAGCTCAACAACATTATAAAGTCTGTTTATTATAGAGTTCTGTCTGTCTGTCTGTCTGTCTGTCTGTCTGTCTGTCTGTCTGTCTGTCTGTCTGTCCCTCCCTCCCTCCGTGGAGAAATGAGCAAATGAAACATTAAAGAGAAACTGTGGAGCAGCAGAGAGAAGATGGAGAAAGGATCAATTCATGGTCAATAATCAAATATTCAGTGAACAACTGAGAACCAGGATGAACTCAGAGTATGTGAGGAAGAGGAGGAGGAAGCACTTTCTACCGCTCGAGGCTCTGAAACTGAATTTCTGGGGGAAATAAATGAATCCTGGTTTGTTTCTGTCGACCTTTGAACTCTCCTGTTAACTTTCTGCCAATGTGGGAAAAAAAGATTGATTATAATGAGAAACTTCATCAAAATATTGAATCAATATCTCAAAGTCATTATTTTGATAAAAAATAAAGTCTGATTGATTATTGATTAATCAGTTATAAACACTGTCTCCTGATTACTGACATTAGTCTCACACACTGACACACAGCGTGTTTGTGCCGCCACCTGCTGGACGTCTGCAGACGCTGCAGTCTGGAGGAGTCAGTGTCAGTCAGTGGTCGAGAGTTTTATCTGCATGTTTCTGTAGCAAAGCTCTGATTTAATCACATGGATCAATATCTGCTCATAATAAATTATATTGGAACTTATTAATAAAGTATTAATTAATATCTGAAGGTGGTTTTAGAATCAATAACATACATCTTTCAGTCTAACATGTGACCATAATCAATCAGTGTGTGTGTGTGTGTGTGTGTGTGTGTGTGTGTGTGTGTGTTACCTGAGGTAGCACAGTGGCTGCTTGTCCTGCCAGCCGGTGCAGTGAGCTGACTTGAGGCACCTTGATGGGCACAGCAGTGAGAGTTCCCAGCATCTGAAACACACATGAACACAACACTTAGACTCATTTACAGCGAGCTTCATCCTCATCATCCTCATCATCATCATCATCATCCTCATCCTCCTCATCCTCATCATCCTCATCATCATCCTCATCCTCATCATCCTCATCCTCATCATCATCATCCTCATCATCCTCCTCATCATCATCATCATCCTCATCATCCTCATCATCAGGTGATCAGAGCTGAAATCTGAGAGTTTGGATGTCGGAGCTGAAGTTCAGTTTATTCTTTACTTTAAGTTTTCCAGGACAACAGAGATTATTTCCAGGTCATTTGGATTCATTTCCAGGTGTTTCCGTGACTGGTCCAATCCAGTTAAACTAGTTTCCAGGTCTTCCAGGTTTTCCACTCGGAGCCTTTTCCTGCTGTTTAATAAAATAAAGTATTTAATAGATTTAAACCTCCGACTGGAAGAACTTTATTAGTGTTTACGACCGCCATCGTCACGTGTTGACTTTAATGAGATGGAGCCACATCGCCGCCACTTCCTGTCCACCCGGAGCGTCCAATGAGCCGTCAGCGTTTATAATCCCCCCCCCCTCCTCCTCCTCTGGAACGCAGCTCGCCTCCTTTCTTCTTCTGTGAAAATCCCTTCGTTCCATTGTATTGTGCTGCAGAGCGCCGCGGCGAGGAAGGGGGGGGGAGGCAGGCCTGTTCCCATGGCAACTGCCGAGATGAAAATTCTTGCAGTGCAAGGGCTTTCATTTTCGTAATTGCTTCCTCTTTTTCTCCAAACCTAAGCACCTTCTCTTCAGGGGGCCTCCTCCTCCTCCTCCTCCTCCTCCTCTTCCTCTCCACTGTGAGCAGAAACCTTGGATCGGTGATTTCCTGGTTTTTCTTTTTAATGATTTTTGTTTCCTTTCTTCAAAATACCAAAGTCGATACGATCACTGAGACAGATGACAGCTCTGCAGCAAACACTGACACAGACCTCCTCCCCCCTCCTGACCCCCCCCATCTTCATCCTGCAGGTTGGGGGGAGGAGGGGGGAGGATATAAACACTGTGCAGTGAGTGAAAACAGTGGAGGGAGACGGTTGAAGGTGGAGTTTTTCCTCTTTGGATGGAGCTAGGCTAACAGTTTCCCTCTGCTTCCAGTCTTTGTGCTAAGCTAACACTAAACTCCCCCCCAGATGGTCAGCCTCAAACTTCCTCTTTTCTTATTGTTTGGATGTGAGAGCGCCCCCTAGTGGCAGAAACTACAGCCTCCAGTTTAATCTCATTGAAGTTGAACATCCAGTGTGACGCTGCGGGGAGCAGAGGAGGGTGAACCCGTCAGCTGAAGGAAGAGGAAGAGGAGGAGGAGGAGGAAGTGCACTCACAGCAGAGGATCAAACAAACAGACATGTTTCTTCTCTGCGACAGTCAGCAGGATTTATCTGACAGAAACTGCAGTGATTCTTTCGTCCAGCGGGCGGCGCTGTTTCACACAAGCTCCTTTTGGTGCTGCTGAACTTTCAACTTTTGACATTTTCCGAGTTATTCCGACACTAAATTATTCCGGGATGTAATTTAATTCTAATTTTAGAAACACTCAAACACAGCTCTGATTGAATGTGAACAACCATCAACATCTGGTTTTATATCAGGACTTTTTTAACTGGGGGGGGTTCAACCTGACATCAAACGGAACAAATTAAATATCTGTTCCTTCTCTTTTCCCGAACACAATCACTTCCAGGAACCTTGAATAATGAGAATAATAGAGGAACGAACGAGCCAATAACGATTAATACATCTATAAACTGATCAATAAATCAGCTGACCGTGAGTGATTCTGCTCCACTGACCTCAGACCAGCAGGAATATAGTGCAGTTACCATGGTAACGCTCTTCCTCCTCTCATTCATCACATCTCATCAGTCCTTCTCGAGTCCCCCCCCCCACCCAGTCCTCCTCCACAGCACCTGCAACATTCTCCAGATCCTCCTCAAGGACCACTGGAACTTCCTCTAAAGAACCCTGAAGAACCCAGAACCACCACAATGTTCTCCAGCTTCCATTAACTCAAGAACGTCCTCAAGGACTAAAACCTTTTCCAAGAGTCAGATCTTGTCTATAACCCCGGGAAGACCTTCAGACGCTAGAACCCCTTTACAACCTGTCTAACTTACTCAAATACTACAAACATTTAAAAATGACCTTGAGAACCTCTGCAGGAACCACTAGAACCCCTAGAACGTCTTCTGTCAGTGTTTTTCCACCAAATTCAATCTGGATCTTGAACCGGTTTTCTTGGAACTAGCTCCCCCCGGTTTTGAGTGGAACTGTAATCAAGGATGGACGCGTCGTCATCAGAGGACGTTGCACAACAACCTGGAGAACACGACACTACTTTGGTTCCCAAGGAGAACCGGCTATTATTTGTTTTTCAATGTGGGAACCAACCTTTTATGTATTTTTGGATTTAAATACTCAAAACGGTTCAGAACTTGTTCAGTGAGTCCTAAACCTTTATTAAGGACCAGTGGGTCTTTCTCCAGGACCTCATACATCCTCCATAATCAACAGAACCTGCACAGTATGAAGAACCTTGTCCAGGACCACTGAAATCTTGCCTTAAGCACCAAGAATCAGGACCTGTAGAACCTCCTCAACAACCAAAATACGTTTCTTAACACTCCAAGATCGTCCTCAAGGACTCCGAATCCTCCTCCATCACCTGTAGAACCTACATAGGAAAGTCTTTGTTATAAGACATTATTTATATTTGAACCTTAAATAATAAAATCAGTATTGTTTTTTATTTCCTTTTTATGACTTAAGCATAAAAATTTGACGCTGTTTGGATCTATTGATCAAAACAAAACAAAAACATAGCGGTTATGTGATTTTCAAACATCAAAATTAAAGATGTTTTCAGGGTCAAAAAGAGAAGAGTTTGAGTAAAGGTGGAGAAACCCTACAGACGTATGAAACTGGATCATAGCTCAAACACTTTCTACACTATTCTCAGAGTGAGGCGTTAAGATTGTGTTTCTCTTTTTTAAACCACCTATTACCTCATTTTAAAATAAAAATCCAATAACCTTCAATCCCCGTTGGATACTCTGACCCTCTCTGATAAAGTAATGGCGTTCTCTACACCACGGCGGCGTCGTGGCCTGAATGCTCATTCACAGCTCTGAGTGGGAACGCGGACCCTCGGAGGGGCCAATCTACCTTCCTCCGGCTCTGACGAGACTCGGA